AAAAATTCACTGCTTAGCTTTTTGCTGATTCTTACAGTTCATCATTGTTTGTTGGTCGTAGCCAGTTGATTTCAATTCAGAGTCTTGAATTCGCTAAAGCTTTTGATATTATATAGTTTAGTAGATGAGTGATTGATATGGAATATTTTGTTTCGAATTCAGCTTAAGCCTCTGCCTTTCCAGTGGGGTCCTTGGGCAAGATGTTTTTATCTCCCTACCTCAGTGTCACATACCAGAATCATGCCGGCTCGGACGTCGCCCAAATTAACAAGATCCGCATCAAACGCTGAGGGACCAGGGTTATATGATCTCAAGTGCGCTACTGGAAGAGCATTAGTTGTAGTAGGACCAGAGCAGTGTGTTAAAAGGGCAATGCAAACTTTAAATGGAGGAGAAAGTGGAAATGAATGAAATGTTACTATAATGGTGGACTTAATGATCAAAGGAAAAAGTATAATATATGAAGATATTGTGGATGGAAAAAAGACCTATAACCATATTAACTGAAGAACAGTTAGTGGGTAAATACTTCAATGTAAGAGAGATGAAAACTGCTCTCTAAGAGGAATCAATTCTGCGCAGAATTTTTCAGAAAAAAAAGATATGCAAGCAACAAGTTGGGAAGCTGGAAATTGCCTTCGTTGCAAAGTGGAATAGTTGATATAAGGTAGAAAAACATGAATAAAATGGATATAATTAACCATCGAGATTGACAACCGAGGCTCAATGATGCACTACCAGATAATATAATCGCAAAGGTAAATAGAGCAACAATTTTTAATGCCACTGTAACAGAAACCAATAAATTGATGTACACCACAATCTATGTATTTTTCGAAATGCTGGGATGTAAAAACAAGAAGAATAAATGGCCAATCCGCCCATGAAAAATGAGGCTGGAAAACAAGATCAAGAACGTAAAGAAGCCGGCTAAAAGAATTACAGAAAGGTGTAAAAAATTAAAATAGTATCTGGATGCTGAGAAAATACAAGTGCTACACTCCATCAGAAACCCTCGAAATTGCTAAACAAAGGTTCTTACCACTGGCCACTAGGCTAAGGAGATACACTGGAGAGGATAAAAAAATGCCCTAATCTCCAAGGAACCGTCCAAGATTTACTCTATGCAATAATATGGTTACAAGAGAACCACCGATAGCAAAAACTATACATTACTGGAAGAATATATGGGAGAAACAGAAGATTCATAATATTAGTGCAAAATGGCTACAAGATCTGAGAATAAGTCACAATCTCCCAGATAATCAGCGACCAGCTGTTGACATCGAGCGACTCAAAAATATAAAAAGTTGGGTATCACCTTGTCCGAACATGAAACATGACCTACTGGCTAAAAAAGCTAATAGCATTCATGAACCTTTAGCGACATAGATGAACCAGCTGCTTGCGGCAGGCTCTCGTTCAGACTAGTTAACAAAGGACAGTACAAATCATGAAAGATTCCTTTAAGAGATTAACACCGTCCAACTACTGACCTGTTTCTCCATAATGTGGAAAGCCCTGTCAGGTATTATAGCCATCAAGATTAAATATAGCTCAAAAAAGCATTGGAAACAACACCAGATGCTCCTAACATCAGCCGCTCAAAAATAGGTTAGTCGCTCTAGACTCGAAATTCCCACAGACCAATCTGGATTGACTACAGGGAAACCTATGACTATGACTGAATACATGACTCAACAGGATTCTAAATAAGTTTACTGAGAGTTCAATGTGATTATGGAAAACGACACTTGAAATCAGCTCGGAATAGCTTGCACCAGTAATTGTCAGGTGCGGCATGTACCACGGCGATGTGCACTGTACACCAAACGCCCCCGAAACAATCTAACATATAGTGACAGAATGTAAAATGCAAGCAGGAATAATATAGGCACTGAAAGGCATATCAGGAAGATCTACTCGATACATGGCTTAAATCCTCGCAAGACTAAATGGTAGAAAATAATAAGACGAATATCCTGCGTGACTTCTCCGTTCAGACAGACAAATATGCACTGGCCAACCAACCAGATATCGTAATAGTGGATATAAATCAAAAACCAGTATCAAGTGACAGGAACGTCAGGAAAAAGGAACATGAGAAGTTAGAAAAATATCAAAGGCTGAGAGAGGAAATAAAAAAGATGTGAAAAGCCAAAGTAATTCCAGTGATAATTGGAGCACTTGGAACTCTCCCTAAACTAGAAAAGTGGCTCCTACTGATTCCAGGAAAAACATCAGAGATCTCTATCCAAAACAACGAAGACAACGAAGATATTGTGCAAATTCCCTCGGCCTCTGGCAGAAGTTGAGAATGATCATGACCACCCACAGCGGGTGAGAAAAAAGTTTTTTTTATTTAAATTTAGATAATATAAATTAAGGATCAAATATTAAGTCTTAGATACAAATGAATTTATAGATTAAACAGTAATATATAATAATCTAAAAAAATTCCAAATTTTCCATGTGCAAAAATTAATTTCACAATGGCTAATACTATATATCAGTGGTTGACAAAAGTCCAAAATTTCAAAATTTCAAATCTCTCCAAAATTTTTTGCGGATTCCATAACTTTAGGCGACGAAAGCCATCATCAATAATTTATTTAATATTAAATATAATGAGTTTTCATTATTAGTACCTAGTAAAAGTTCTTCTTCTTCTAATAGCTCTTACTAATACTGGTTAGGCTGGTTCTGCTGGCCACAAAGGAAAGGCTTTCCAAGTTGCCCGATACTACGCCATCGATGGTAGCAATAAAACATTCCTTTTCCATCTTCAAGTCCATCTATCGCTGGTTCAAAGTTTTTCCTGACTGTCTCCAGTCCAAGTCTTGGTTGATTCGTTGATTCTTCTCGTCTCTGATGCCAACCATCAAAGAATTTAGCAAGAAAGATGCATCAACTCCTGTGGTGGATGGCGAAGAAAGTGAAGGCTCTTTGATGGAAATATTGATACAGTTGGTATTTGACAGTGGATGTAATTATGTGCGGATCCTTAGATGTGAGTGGTAGAAGGCAGATTGCTTCTTAATATTCTGAACTCCCAGTGGCCATAAGTCGCAGCCCTACAACAAGATCTAGCTAATTGCAGCTATATGGACCCAAATTTTAATACTGAATTAGTGACGAGTCCATAAAGGGTTTCATTAATGGGAAGAAAAAATTTTTAGCTACCAATATCCAGATTGTAATTTCATCTTTCGGTTGGCCTTGTGAGAGTAGAGTGAAGCATTTAAAATCTGGCAATTCCTCAACCCGCAATGAATTGATAAAAATAGGTGCTTTATTAGCCTCTTCTATTAAATTCGTTTTATTTATATTTGTTCTGAGATTCTCACTGCATTTGTTGACACATTATTTCGCATTATTTGATTCGCATTTAATCATAACTATCAGCAAAAAGGACTATATCATCATCATATCCACAATTATTTCCACAGTATCATATCCACATAAGGCTATAAGTAACCACATCTTTCCACATCATTATTCCACTAATGCTATAAGCATAGGTGGTGTTTCCAGTTGCAACATTTATTGAAGTTTTAGTCCTACAAACACTGAAAGAGCACGATGCCTGAATTTCATATTTGAGGTAATACACTTCCTTTTCTGGTTTGATTGAGATAAAATTTTATCTGGTTACTATTGTTACTTATTTTTTTAATGTTTTCATACAGTGCTTTTCTCAACATTTCATGGCCCTTTATTTTGTCCTCCTACGAAATTCAAATAAAAGAGGGCATTATGAGTTAGGTGGGGCTTGGAAAATAAAATTATCGGCTTTGTAAATGCTTAAAAGCATCCGAATTTGACTTTATGGAACTTTTTATATTGCTCCCTTTGATTTTTGTTTCATTTTATTTTATTTACTTACTTACTGGCTTTTTTTTTATTATAGTACCCTAAAAATCTAAAAAAACTAAATTGTATATATATTTTTAATACCAAAGATGATTAATCATTCGATCATTCCGTTTAGTTTTCACCAAAAATTCACCCTTATCTTTATCCTTGAAAACTTGTAATAAAGCTTTTACAATATTAAAATCTAAATCAATTGTTAATCTAAAAAGTTTCAACGTCTGCAACCAGCTGTTGTTCCATATGTTCATCCATCGATTAATTTTGCTAATCTTAGCTTCGCACAGTATTTACTGTTCACCTGAAGAACCAGAAGTAAGTTTGATTCCCCTCATTTCTTTTCAGTTTCTGTATCTCTGAATTTATCTACTTTATTAAATGGAGACCGAGGCAGAGTGATATATTATTTAGGTTATCAGCTCAAGATCATTTTCAATTTCTCGTCTTGATAGGGGTAAACCTGCCATTAAACGTCAAGTCCCGATGGTGCTGAGGACTCATCTCATCTGTGCTTCTCCGAAATTCTCGCTTTCTCGCAAAAAGACAAATAGCTGAGAAAAAATAAAAAATGCCAACCGGAAAATAATAATAAGATAGCAGCGAAAAAAAGATTCTAAATATCCTTCAAGAGTTTGACATTGTTGACTACTGGAAATTTCAGATAACATTTGAGGATCTTTACCAATATGCTAAAAATGAATATACGATGGAGAATTGGTCGGAATGTATTGCTTTTCTATTGCGAGCTTTGGATGATTTTAATTATTTTATTGAAGAAAATATTTGGTGCAGGACGAAATGCCTTATGAAACTAGCTTCACAGCAGACATCAAGTTGGTCATTTCCTTCTGTTAGCCAATTAAATCAATTAATTAATGGAACCTCAGTTATTTTCTTTGTCATACGATTGGTCCATTTCTATAAGTGACTTATTTTAACATATTAAAAGAACATAAGGTCGACTTTTGAATTAACTGTTAATTGAGGCAATACCGATGAATTGTCCAGAGAAATTAAGGAAACAATACAAATGTATACGGCAGCACAGCATAGCCTTTGCCTCCTTCGTTGTAAAAAAGAACGTTTCACTTCTAGACGACCATCACTAAAGAACCGAGCAGTTCTTGATGAATTCCAAAATCGTAAGCCATATCATTATCTACAGTTTTGTTATTGGAAGGTAACTTTTTTCATTTTTTAGAGTTTTTCACCAGTTCTTTTTCGTTACTCTCTTATATGACATATTGCAAAATTATAATGCCTGAAAAAAATCGTTATTCAAAAAATTGGATTTTTTACATATTATTCAAGGATTCTTATAAATTCTACAGTGGAGTTATCCGATCTACCATGAGAATAATAAATTAATAAATTTTACAATCATCAGCATAAAGATAAATGGTAGAGTGCAATACTGCTTTGGTGATATCATTAATACATAATAAAAATTCATAATTCATCAGCATCTTCTTCTTCCAATAGTACGTCTTATTTCTGATTTGGCTGATTCCACTGGTTAGTAGGCCAAGTCAGCATTAGCCCACTTTAAAATGCTATTAGTTTCAGATAGGTGACCTAGCATCAGCAGTTCGTAGTGCATACACATATTTGACTGCAAATCCAACTGATCAACAAACAATCGAAAATTTATCATTCTATATGCAACAAAATGGATTCAATCACAATATGCTTATCGATTCACTACAGATGAAATTAGAGGTATCAAATGTATAGAATGAAAATGAAAAAACTACTAAACTACCAATTTATGCAAAATTTTGTCAGAATTTAGATATTAATTAAAATGAATGAATTCGTGAAAAATTCACTATGCAATAAATGTTTGCAGAGAAACTATATGGGTGGTGTTCTTGCATATAACGACGAGGATTGGCCACAATGCGTTCATTACTTTGAAAATAGCTTGGATGAATTTTTCGTCGAGGAAAAGAGATGTCGCCTAATGTGTGAAGATATGATGACATGGGAATTGATCGATTCACCTAATCCCGAATATATCGTTGTTGCTACAAGTATTACTTTTTACTTGAATTACTTTGGTACATTGGAATATCAAATTTTCCTATTTCACTTTTTTTTATTAATCAATTATACAAAACAAGAGGAAAGCTTTGATAAAAAATCGTTTTATATAAATTTACATCATTGCAAACATCACTGAAATCTTGCTGGTCAAAACTTCTTTGAAGGCCATTCGAGCGAAATACGGCTTTTCTTTTCTTCTATTTTCCCAACAGCACTTACCATTCCGCTTTTCCTGCTTGCAATAACAATGACTAATAGGGTAGAATCCTTTCGTCAAAGTGTCACATGGGGATGAGACTTGTAGATTCTTAGGCTTTTGGCATCATCGAAACAGACTGCTGATATTGCTCTATCATATTCTGCTTCATTGTAAGCACAAGCAAGCTGAATGCTCGAGAGTGTTGGGGTAATCAGCTAACTGTTTCGGTTCAATTCTGGTTTGTGGTTAAATTTGTGGTTAACTGTTTCTGGCAAATCATTTGGCTGGTAATACGCCTCAAAATTTTTGGCAGAGAGCCATACGGCGATAGATGGGCCATCAGAATTACTCGAATTTTTCGATGACTACTCGGTTATCCTTACGTTCAATATTTTATTTTATACCAGCGTATGTGTCTGTTTGTTTCCATTCATTCCGCTTACAGTTATTACTTTAGCAGATATGCATTTTCTGAAAAGAACCTAAAAATTTCAGAATTTAAATATGGCAAATAATTTTAGGTGCTTATATATCTATGCTACGTTGTAAGCATAATTGTACGGAAAAATTATCAAAAGTAAATGGCCGATTTATTCCGAATTTCTTATCGTCAATCTTTGATTATCTCCAGTTTTGTTACTATAAAAGTATTTTTACTCATTGCTTTCCAATTTTCCGAGAAATACTAAATCTTTTTTAAATCAAAAAATTCAGTGAACCGAGGCCGTAATGCATGTGAATCTGTGGCGAATTCCTTGTTACTTCAACCAAATAATCCAATAATGCGACGAAATCGAGTTTTTTACTCTAAGAATTATGGAAATAATGAATTATTCAAACCGTCAAAGGTTCTTTAAATTCTGTTCTGAAAACTTTCCATTTTGGTAGGAACCTTTTTTAGTTTGGAAAAATTATTTAAATAAATAAACTTCGTTAATATAAAAAATTCTATTTTGCATGAAATTTTATTCTATTTTATTTAAATTATTTAGATTATACTGGAATACCAGAAACGATTAACTGTACAACGAATTTATCTCGATTTTATCGAACGTAAATTCAACTATAGTGAAGAGGGCGAAGTAGGTTTATTAATATAGGACAATAGGAAATTTCCAGCGGTTTGTAGGATTTTTCACCGAGAATTAAAGCAATAACCAATATTCAATCGTGCCATAATGCTTGAATTAATCTAAGCCAGCGTTTCCGAAACCTTTTTTGCCACTTTACAAATTAAATATGATTAGCAGAATATTTAAACAGAATTTATTAAAATGATGATACCGATGATTACCAATATTTAGAAGAGCAGTGGTCGAGGATAAATGGTTAGGATTATTCCTTCTAAATATGTGTGAATTATGTTACCAAATTATGCATAACTCTCTTGAAGTAACTCTTGTTAAAAGCTTTATGCGGAAGAAATATAATAGCATGTTCATAAGTGAATTTAGTTTGATTTACTCATTCTAGGCCTTTGTGAGGATTTTGACTTCTAAGAAATCGATTCTTCTTTAAAAACTGATTGATAACTTAAATTCTTTTCCATGATAATTCCTAGGATTTTAGCACTCTTTTGGTTTATTTTAGCTAGTTGTTTCATCAACTGTAGCTCTGTTCTTATTTTGGTGATAATTTCTGATTGATGTCTAATTCAACAGCGAGAAATGAAATTAGGGACAAATTTTTGCGGAACACCGATGTGAATCCGCGAAATACAGTTTGGGAAACGCAAGGCACTTCCGATTTATGAAATAATTGCCAAAAAATGAATTTTTTTAGTATCCAAATGAAGAAGCCGACGATTATACTGCAATTAATTTGCAAAATCTGTTATTCATCGATACATTCGATTATTCAGCAATCGAAAAGCAATTGCTCAGCGATCAAGAATGCGATTTTTTATTCATTTGTTACATATTTAATTCATCCAAATCTCAAAGAAAATTGCAACAATTATTTATAAATGAAATTCGCGAACGAATTAAGCAAACTTACTTGACTGAAGTTGCCTTCGATGCTTTGTCTTGTTCGTCGCATAGAAACACTAATTGTAAACAAAAAAAATTTCTCATATCAATTGATAAATCTTATTGTGGTGCCTTTTTGAAGGAACTACAATCTAATCGATGCACAATTAGTTTTTGTTTTAATGCATAAATGTTCTAAGAATTGATAAATAAACAGTCAGATTGTGCTGTAATTGATAAGATAAAATTAAAAAATCAGTCTATTTTGTGATAAAATAAATATATTTAAATTATTTAAAATTATTTAATATTTAAAATTATCTTTAACAATTTTTTTACAGTTAACAATTTTATTTCAGCAGAATATAATGTAAAATGTAAAATTTAAAATTTAAATGTAAAATTTTGCAGAAAAAATTTAAGCATATTTTGGACCTTAAATCGTATAATGTCATACCTTTCATACTTTTCTACCTTTATGAATTCTCACAGAAGCAGCTGAAAATTCCGAGAGAATTGATATTCAGGATTAAAATGAAATTCAGCTGCCAATATTATACAGTATTATATTGCCAGTGCGGAAAATAACATGGATTTCTCTCGTTTAATTGTATTTAAATAAAAACATAAAAATAGTTAAAACATAATATGGTAAATATGGTAAATAAATAATATGGTAAATATAGCAAATATAGTAATAAACTAAATAAATAAAAATGCAGCATGGATAGAAACTAAACATGGTTTTCCTTTGATAGACATATATTTAATAAAAAATTTAAAAAATGCTTTAAATTTGTGGCGCATTAAAAAGAATCGAAAAATAGGCGATTCCTCGGAATTATTGGACATTAAATCTAGTACATTAAATTGATGGCATTGAATTATTTTTTTAATGCGGCTTCGGTTTATGTCCATCAACATAAAAATTTCTGGTAATTTTTGGCAATATAATAACAATGTTGTCCAGTTCTTTAGTGAGCAAAATCTGACAAGACAAACGAGAATTCGGTTTAAGTAATGGTGCCATGTCAAGCATGTCTTCTTCTGCTTCTGATGCTTCGGGCAATTTCGATATATATTTTTCATCAACATAAACGTGACAAGTTGAACATGCACATGATGCGTCACACGCTCCTTCAATTTCAATCCCATACCTACAAATAATCAATGCTTTCAATGCGAGCACAATTCGCTTAAAAAGCACTGATTTTAAACTACTTAAAATAATAAATTAACAACGAATAACAAAATTATATTTATAATATTAAGCAATATCGAATAAATTGAGTTGGCCAATTTAAGCCGCGAAGGTCAATTGTTAAATACAATGGGCTAATACAATGGGTTAATTTTTGTAAGATAGAACGATTTTCTCCTGGGTTTTTTTATTTCATAAAAGCACTAAATTAAGAATCGGAAAAGTTTTGTCGCCATCTTTATCGAAAAAATGAACAAAACCGTCTAAAACAAGCAACAAATGTGGCAAAACAAAAACTTTAAAAACTTAGATAATAAGCAAAGTATTACAAAATGTAAACAATAAAAAGAGGAAAAAGAATTAAAGAAATACCTATGCGACAATTTCATAACATTGTCACCGACTTTGCCTTGAACTTTGACCTCATCTCCATTTCTCAATATATAAGTTACATTTACTCTTTCACTGGTAGTATTTTTAGGAAATGCGTCGCCATGCAGCAACCTTTTTGAAAGCAATTCATTCATTTTTAAACTTTTCGTCAAAATTCGAATATTTTGCATTGTTTTTTTGAGAAACAAATTATTTCGAAATCAAATTGAATAAATAACCGCAAATATTTAATTAAACGAATAAAACTTCTTCAACAACAATCCATCGAGCATGAAATTTATCATGAAAAAAGTCCAACAAAAAAAGAACGATTTTGCAAAAGAATTAGAATTTTTCAAATCTGTCTGAAGAATAGTAGTTGAGGGTGGCGAAATCCAAAGATCGGCCTTTTTCCCACAACATTCTGTCTGTCATGATTTATCCAACAGCGCAGTCCATTGCTTCTTATTTCTTCGCTCGATACTTCGTTCCTCTCGTTCGTAGTGTAGAAATTGCGCGGCTGGTTAATAGGCTTGGTTCGGTCATCGCTCATCGCTTGAACCTCGCAAGCTGCATTGTAGTACGCGCGTTTTGCGCAGCATTTCTGCACTTTTTTCTACACATTTCTTCCAGTCAGAAATTTGCATTGCGGTTTTCGCTTTTGTTTCCATCAAAATTTTTGTCCCATTCCTCGTAAACATTAAAGGTGTGGAAAATTTGTAGTTGAAATTCACCCGAAAGTCTAAAATGCAGCTTCCGAAATGGGGAGGCAAAGGTAAAATGCAGATTTTTAAGTGGAAATGCTTCCGGAAATTCTTTACTCTATCTTAGGAGACCTGCGTTTTGAATTTTTATATTAAAGGATATTTCAATGAAATGCCGAATTCTTGAAGAAACTCGGCCACAAACAGGTTTATAAGTCATAAGAAATCAAAAAATTTTTAAATTCATGCGTCTCACAGCGATTTTTGATCATCGGTTTTTATTTCTGTTTCTGTTTCACTCGAAGAAAAATTTTCCTTTAGTTTCTCTTTGGTCTGTTTTTGATTTGTTTAGTTATTTCAACAATTTTTAGACTTTAAATCATTAGCATTTAATATTTGTTCATTTTTATATTTTGTTTTTTAATGAATAATTGCATGTTTCGCTGGGAATTCACGGAGATCAGCGAGTAGTCAGTAGAGAAATATTTGTGTGAAATTTTGCTGTTGTCTGCTGCCGACGCTCATTGTCGCTAGACAAGGCATTAGAAAGCGAGTAAGCGATTAGCGCTCACCATTTCCGGTTCACTTTACTGGTGGAAACATTTGCGAGCGATTCGCTTGGCTATAGAAATGTGGAAGGGTCCTCAGCAGTCCAGATTTCTGATGACAGGTTCGTTGCTTCCGTGGCCCGAATTCCGCTGCTTGTTGCGTTGTCTGAGCCGCTGTCCTCAATAAAACGTCCTTTCTTTTCTTCCTCTCTGTCCTTCCTATTTCCTCATCAATAATTAATTTTGCCAATCTCATTTCTTTCACTTTTTATAGTGAGGGGTGTGGGTATAGTAATTATTAGATGATAGGGAAGTACTAAATGTATTTTTGGATAAGAATATAAAAAATTAAAATTTTTATGTCAAAGTCAAATTTATTTCAGATTAGACCGTTACATTAATTTTTTTAAAATATTGATTAGTTTACATCGGTGAAATATGGAACCTTTTGAAATTCATTTATGCAATTCGGGGAATATATTTAAAGAATTCTGTTTCCAGTGTTTAATGACTAATTGGCCATCATATTGGTTTCTCACTTTAAAAATTTCAGGAATACTTACCGAACCTAAATAAATTTAATTATTTATTATAAAATTTTTATTAGCCATATTTTTTCGTTTAAATTTTTGGATCAAATTTTTTCAGTGATAAATGTGGATTATTCTTATACTTTTTTCTACAAATATTTTTTATCATTGTTTAGCGTTCGATTATATTTTGTTCTCCAATAGGAATATAAAGTATGTATATATATATTTTTTCATTTTCTTCAGTTTCTCATCCACTGCAGTTTGTATTTGAACTATTAAATATTTCCTTTTTAATTAATTGCTTTCTTATTTTTTGGTTTAAATTTCTCATTTTATAGGTGATTAATTCAAATATGTTTTTGGATATAAAATTCAAATATGTTTTTGGATATAAAATTCATATAAGAAATTTTATACATGAAATGTGAAATCGAATGCTAATCGAAATTTGTCATAATTTTTTATAGGACAAGCGACCTGAATGATCTAGATGAAGCGACTTTGGATTCAGTTCGGGTCTTGGTTTTTTCCATCGAAGATTTTACTCTGGCATCATTCAACCAGTATATTGGTGCATATAGTATACAGAGTATTGATACACCCTTGGTTAAATGGATAAAAAGTCTTACAGTCAAATTTGGAACATCCGAGCAACTATTGGAAGTCGGTTGTTTTAATTCTGGAGCGATGATTTTTTATTTTTATAATTTATGATTATAATTTATATTTTTTTATATAAGAAAATTTGTACTTTACTAAGGGCAGTCTACAAATTCAATAACGATGCTTAGTATCTTTTCAAACATTTTTTTTAGTGTAATTATTTCATTTTCAGCTACCAGTTGTTGATATTGTTAAATCCTTTGCTGATATCACAAGTAAACCAGTTTTACTTATTGAATCATCGTCATTTGATGATTTGGAAAAAAAATTTTCTTTGCCGGATTTATTAAAAAATAAACCTTTCATTGCAATTTTAACTGATTCTAAACATATTCTAAAGGTACGTTTTGTTAAAATTTATGTAAAATTACAATACTTCTATGGAGTTCGATTTTTGAGAAATTTATCTTTAAAGAAATTTTATTGTTTAAATCTCATAGATTTTCTAGAATACATTGAAGCGTCAAAAACGTGTTTCATCTGATGTAGGTTTCGAAGATGAAGATGTATCTGAAAAGGATAACAAAGTTTCAGAGCAAAAAAACTTTCGAAAGCAGGCAAAACAGCGTTTCAGAACTTCGGTTCGATCTTGCGATTAATTTTAATTGTTTACATTTGCGTACTGTATTTATCTATTAGAAAAGAAGATATTTTCAGAGTTCAGAACAGTTACCAATGCCTGTTGTGCTTCCTCCAGCTCAAAAATCCAAATTTAAACCATCAGATAAATGTTTGCTTTATCTTGAGACGATAGCTATAAAATTATATAGGAAAGGCTCTTCTGTCGAACAAACTCTTATTGAATCTCCTGAAAATAGTTATCGGTGGGATTCTTCTTATGTTTCATGTGATTTATCGAAATCGGGAGCCGGAAGTGCAACGTTAGTTTATAAAAATAATTGGGATTTTGTAAATTGTTTTAAAAGTACACAAGATAAATTTTGCATATTTATCTTACTTCATTTATCATTTTATTACTTCATTTATCATTTCTTATATTGTTATTGGTTTTTTTTTCTTTCAGTTTTATCTTAGATATTATTCTAAATAAGGAAAGCAAGGGATCTTCAATTAAAATTGCAAAAGGAGAAAATATTAAACTGCAGTTGGGTATTTTTGGCAGTTTTGTTGATTATTTTTTTGTTTTTCCAGATTTTCATTTCATTTTTAAAAAATTTTTCATTTTGCAAATGATAAAATCATAAAAATTTCTTGCAAATGAATCACAAATTGGGTGTTGTTGTAAATGATTAACATTAAATGAATTGTAGTCAAATTTTAATTAAAACGATAGATATTGTGGTAGAGAGTTTCAAAATAGATATTGATGTGGTTATCGTAACTTCAGGTTAATGTTCAATTCATCAAGGCGGCTACATTGGAATTTAATGCAAGTTAAAACTCTCTCCCAGTTTACCATCACTGATAATTCGAACGTTAGTCTTTCTTTTTCCATTTTTTAGATTTTAATTCGATTTAATTGTAATCTCTCCTTTTGTAGTAATTTGAAAGATGGAAAAATTTCAATATCGAATGCTTTTATTTCATATCTTTATATAGCATATTTTTATATTTAGCCTGTAATGGTGCCATCAGACAAGGAAAGTGGTCCTTTGAATTCACTTAACATCGAAAGTGTGTATCGATATGGATATGCTTGTTCAGCAACGAAAGCCGCTTTTATCGAGATTGATAAAGAGATATATTTTGGATTAGGCCTTAACAACGTTGAAGTATATAAATAGATTCTCAGATTTTTACAAATAGATTTTTATTTTAAAATCAGTTTTTTTTAATGCATATTTTTTGGTTATGATTTTCAGGTCGATTTGAATGCAAAAATTGAAGATGGTTCGTTGTTATTTGGTAGTGATGTGAGCGATTGTACTGGTTCATTCAGTGTTGGTTCTTGGATGGGAATAATTTGCTCATTAGTCCTCACTAGCATTTTAATGTTCGGTTATTTAATGCTACAATCGGTTCAAACACATGATCGATTCGATGATGCTCGTCAGAAAGGTTATACTATCAATTTTAAAGAATAATTGATGTAGTACTGCTTGAAATATTTCATTATATCAATTTTTATTTTTTTCACTTAAAAATTTTATTTCTTTTATTTTATTTATTTTGTTTAAATCTTATTTATTCGTAAGTATTGTTAAATATTCCTCATATTTCTGCTTTCTTTTCAAATGTTTTTTTCGATTTTTATTTATAATTAAAAAACAATTTATTGAGTATAATATGCTCATCAGAAAGTATAGAATAATATTATATCTAATATTATTTACTTTTGTTTTTTAATGGAAGCATTACTATTTTCATTCCCATATTTTTTCATATCAAGTAGTATTATTACTTTCGTCCTCCCTATGATAATTTGAAGATTTATTTATTTGTTGAAATAATGGAAATTAGCGATTAAAGAAATATATCTTTATCTTTTTGTTATTTTTCATAAATATTATTCTGTAAACTTTATATTCATTATTAACATTTATATTTAGAGACAAATGTTTAACAAAATTATTCGATAATAAAAGTGCAGTGAACAAAAGTCTTTTGCCAAATACAAAACTAATATGATTAGCCAGAATTTAATCGCATTTCTAATTCCAGTAGTATTTGATTGAAAGATTCTTAAATTAATAAGGCGGTTCTCCGCTGCAAAAATATTGTGTAGACGTGAGGATTCCATTCTGGACTGTAACTTTCAATCCCACCTGGTTTCCTTTTGATTTTAACCAGATTCTTAGCAGAAATTTTCACTCAGCATAAAAAATCCTTTTTATTTAATTAATTTATTTAATTTTCAAAGAAATTGAGTTTTTTTTGAAGATATTTTAAATATTTGGCAGTAAAGCATAAAAAAAAGTAGTGAACTCATTTTGGCTAATATAGTTTCAACACATTAAATGCATATTACAAGCAACGAAAGAATAATATTAAATGGTGGCAGTAATAATTTGATTCATACCTAATAAAAAAAAATCTGACTACCTGTGGAAAAGTTAACGTAAAGATTAGGCAGTTATTTTATTAGTCAGAAATTCTTCAATCTTGGATTCAAGTGGAATGTTACGTTTTCTTTTTTCCATTTGCCAAGCAAATAAAATGACAACAAGGGCTTGACCATCTGCAGCTTTGACCCTATTTCCAGCCAAGCAAAGTTCATCGATTTTGTTTTTAAAGCTTGCTGGCCTCATTTAAACATTATTTAACGGAATTCATTTGGTTTAAAGCGAAAGGCAGTGTCAAAAATAAAGTATGAATAATGAAATGGAAGATAAGGAAGAAATCATTGGCTGATTTAAGCATAAATGGAATATTTAAAAAGAGTTAACTGAGAAAAATGCTAAGACTAAATAAAGCAATTCTGAATTCGTAATAGTGACAATAATTGCAAAATAAATGGTGAATTGAAAATTAATCCCTCATTTCCCGAAAAGTTTTGTACTAATAGCATTCTGCATATAAAACAAAACGGTTTCTTCTAAACTATTTGAAGGATTAAATTTGTAGGAATAATCAATCAATTAAAAAAGCGAGTGATAAAATTTGGTTTCTTTGCAGAACAAAGTTAACAATTAGAGAAAAATGTTAAGATTGAAGAAGATTTTCTTTTGAATGACTTGATTATATTACATTAATCCATCTAACGATGGCTTTTGTTTTGGGTCGATTTCTATGATCAAACCTTTAAATTTATCCGGTGCACATTGACCACAGTAACCACCACAACGACCAAAAATTACAGCATTATTCTAGAAAATAGAGAATAGAAAATAAAATGTTGGCTAATTTATTATATTCAGTGTTAAGTATTAATATAATACAATAATTATCTCTAGTAACAAATAGTTTTGAAGAGAATTACATCGGATCGCTCGATTCGAGAACTTGTTCGATGACCCTGATCTATCCACCGAAGGTCGTCCACTATGCGGAGTCCAGTACCTCGCAAATCAATTCCAAAGCGACCCTTTAATTCAGCAATGATTAGATAAAACGTTTTTCTAGGGCACTTCGTTAGTACATAAAAAATTCATTAAAACAAAAAATTGTTAATTATATACTCGAAATTAAATGAAGTTAAATGTTGTGAAAAATTGAAAAAATCATCGAAATTGATATTTAGAATTAATTAAATAATAATACTAATTAAATTGAAAAGATCACCTGGGGACAATCTACTGCACTATAGCAATCACCAGCCGTTGCATACGGAACATTTTCACCATATTCAGTCGTAGCAAATGTATGATCGCGAACTAAAATTTTAGGAAGTGAAAAAATATAGGAAAATATAAAGTAATCAAAAAATGAAATTTTTTTATATTCTATTTTTTCATTTTTGATTTAACGAAGATATAGGAAAAGATATCCAGTGATATTCGACGAAAAGTAAAAATCATTAATATATTTAGATTTAAGTATTATATTAAAAACTTACTATTAAATTTCATATTATGTAAATCAACACGAATTTTATTGAAACGTGAAAAACCAGCACTTGCACTTCCATCGTCCGTGCACATGCAAGAATCATTCCGATGACCGTTATGTGGACAAGTAAATGGATATAACAGTCTAAAATAAAAGTGTAAACGACAAATATATTATATGTATATATATATAGAAACAAATATATGAATAAGAATAAAAGCAGGTGTGGGATATTTTTATCTTCGTTATAAGTTGCCGTTTCTACAAGAAGCTCTGAGGAAGTGGCCATCAAACTAGTCTCTGTGGATCCCTTGTGATCAATGGCGAGTCTCTTAAGAGGTGCGATGTGCGAGGTCTAATTCGAATTATTCTTATTTTAATTGAGCGACAAGAATCATTTTTAATGATTAATTTGTGCAATTTATCAAAATCATTCAAAACTCTTAAGAAAATTGAATTAATATTTGAAAACTTTGCTACTCTCCATGGATTTTTATGGCATCATCCACGGGATATGTGGAAAGATTATTTCTGTAAGTTTACACCGTTGTAACTTCTCAATAAATTTTGAATCGTGAATTTCGAACTTTAAAATTAAAAAAGTGAACATTAAGTTTCATTACCCTCATTCATCTTGTTTCAATTTCTCTCTCAGTGTTATAAAATTTAAAATTTAAAGGGCTTCTGAGGACTCGTCTGTACTTTTGAACTTTCATTTTCATCTTCGAGTGATTCTATGATAAAAAAATTAAAGGGAGCAGCGACGTCGCATTCCATGAGCCTCTTTTGGTGCGATAAATGTGCAAACTGGGCCTGGTATAAAGACAAATGACCAGAATCGAATTAGCTCTTGAATTTAATAATTGCTCAGAATCTGCTAAGGAAGGCCAATAATTAATTCAGTGCAAACTCAGCGAACTGGGTACATTAAAACATCAGTAAGAATAGACAGTAGGGTCATACATTTTTATTTTAATCTTTAAATATCGCTCGCCTATCAGACTCGAGCGTTTCATTGCACGTATTTCAGAGATATTGTACATCAATGTAGGGCTTAGAACAATTTGGGACGGAATGATATAGTGATTGTCATGTCGCAAAGGGCTGGATTAGCTGTGATTGCGGAGAGGCCTGTTAACGACCAGAAGGGCTAGCGCGATCTTGCTTCAGACAGTCTGCAACACATGTTCTTACCATATGTGCAGATTAGTTTCAATATGAAACTTCGATTGCTAGTGGCATCTTTCTCAAAAGGCAATGGAGTTTACAGGAAGCTGCCACAATTCTGTAATTGGGAAGTAGAGCATCGATACGGTGCCGCCAATGTAAAACAGTATTTTTTCGTTTTGATTGTGATTAATTGACCAGTATTTCAACAAGACTGAATCATGGATAATACTTCTTGGCATTCAAAAGATGTTAGTCAGTCGGGATCGGGATCAAATCTTGAATAGTATCATGGATCCTGAATATGCTGATGATATAGTCCTTTGTTCTCACAGTTATGGAGAACTAAATAAACCGCGTATCGATAACTGCAACTAAAATCGTGCTCCAAATGTAAATGAGATGGAAGTCTATTTATCTCGTATGCCAGACGCTGTATCTATTTTATTCAAGCTTTAAATATCTTGGAATTGTTTCCTTAATTAAATGTAGTGAAAATAATTCTTCTATATAAAATATATAGATTATAAATATATAAATTATTTCAGGCATAGTTTAGCAGCAAAATAAGGCCACTGAGAGTGGAAAATATCAGAATATAAAGGTAAAATATAAAGGTTGAATATAAAGCTATCTACTTTCAACCAGGCTTGCCTAAGTATCGTATACGCATAAACAAGTGGATAGAATCTTATATAATTTTATCCACCTTACTGAAGCATCTGCAATAACTGTCATAGACCACGGGTTAACACCACGTTTTTACAGGAATTCTTACAGAAATTGACACTTCTTCTTCTTCTTTTAATAGCTCTCACCATTACTGGTTAGGCTGGCTCCAACGGCTACAAGGGTAAGACGCTTCCAAGCGGCGTGGTCTTATGCCATCGTCGACAGTAATGGAAGCCATTCCTTTTTCCATCGTCTAAGTCCATATATTACTGGTCCACCTATACGTTCAAAATCTTTTCTCACCGTATCAGTCCAGGTCTTGATTGGCCCACCTCGCTTTTGATGCCAACCGTTACACGGTTTAGCAAATAACGAAATATGCGTCAACTCGTGTGGTGGACGACGAAGAATGTGCCCTAACCAGCGAAGGCGGCGTTCAGTGATAACATTATTTATGCAAGTGGTATTTGAACGAAGGTGGATGCGATGTAGTCAGATTTTATCCACTCGGAGAACCCGTAATATGTACCTTAGACAAGAGTGGTCAAAGACAGGTCATAACTTCTTAATATCCTCCACTCTCATTGGCCATGTCTCAGAACCATATAATAAGATCGAACGGATCACGGCAATATAGATGCGGATTTTCGTTTTTATGGTGATTTCACGACGATTCCATAAAGGTTTCGTCAACCGGAAGAACGCATTTCTAGCTGCCGTGATCCGAGTTATAATATCATCTTTTGCCTGTCTATTTGGTATTAGAGTGGACCCAAGATGTATTTAAAATCGGGCATTTCCTCAACCGGCAATGAATTTACAAAAAAGAGGCATTTTATCAGCTTCTTGCACGTAAGACGAAAAGATTTTCGTTTTATTTACATTGATCCTGAGTCCGATTCTTGCTGCAGTTTCTGACACGTTATTTAGTATTACTTGCATTTCGTTATAACTGTCAGCAAAAAGGACTACATCATCAGCATATTCAAAACTGTGATACGATGCTCTTGACTAATTCGGACACCTCTTGAGTGCCGACAAGCAGTGTCCATTATCCAGTCTATCGCATAATTGAATATTGTGGGGGAAAGGACGCAGCCCTGACGGACACCTGTTCTTATTTCGAAGGAATCTGTCAACTCCCCATATA